TCATTCCTTCCTTTCTCTGTTAATTTTGTCCGCCCTTCCGGCTGTCCTCTGCCGCTTTGGTTCCACAAATCAGCATTACAAAACGGCTCAAACCCACCTAATCTCTAATCCTTGCCTTTGATTTTCCCTTGCGTCGACCTTCATAAAATTCTCTTTGGTCTACCTCCGGAAACATTTGTCAGCATCGTCCCGCTGTCCTATCTACGCACACTTTCTGTCCGCGCCTTTCACGGTAGTTTGCTAGGTTTACCATTAGCTGTATATGTGACATTGGCTATCCATCTTTCTTATTGTCAAGGTCCTGTTCAGTTGGGTATGCTTCCCTTCCATTGCTGCCGCCCGACTTCCCTGGGGGAGGTCTTGCTCGGCGTTCCGGTTTCCGTAAGCGCGTCCTTCGGCTTGTTGGCTGTCTTCTCCTAGCACATCAGGTTAGCTTGTCCCCTGCAAATACTTACCAACTCCACTAGCTTCGAGGTCATATCCCTTTGCGCCTGCACGGTCCGTTTCACCGTCACCCAACCAGTCCGTCCGCTGGTCCACTTCTGTGCCATCTTCAGCTTCAACCAGCAGATTTCGCTGTTCGAAACTTTCGGCTTTCAGGTTGGCGTTCAAAAAATTAATCATCATCACTTACTTTGCTCATAACCGTCATTATCCCCACCGACTTCGCCCGTGTTCCCACTAGTACGGTTGCCCGACTATCGAAGGAGAATACAGTCCACAAGGTTTAGATTTGTATTTACATTCCGCTTTTGCGTGTGCCTTTGCGCTTCTACGATATCCGGGGCTTAGCCAACGAATATATCTCTTAGCAGCTGTCATTTCCACTGCATAGAGCAGAGCTGTATGTCTGCAAAACGTATCTCACGCTGCCGGTATGGAATGCTTCAGCACGCGAAAGCACAGGTAATACGGCACTTCTTCCACAGGCGCCCATATCGCCCTCCCGGAAACTGGCCCCCATTTGCCACAGTCCTCGTTTAAGACGGCTCCAGTACGCCTCGATGGCTTGCGTGTGCTTTCCGGTAACCGGATTGACAAATCCAATCGAGTGGCTGACTGTCAGTTAGTAGCGTGTATAGCCCCAGTTAGCCTGACTAGTAGTCCTAGATGATTGTGCTACCCGGTTCCACTCGTTGCCGTATGACACCTTCAAAGGCTTGAAATGTTCGGTAATTCACCTGATCACATACCGCCTTCTTACTGGACATATCATGAGTTCCAAACAATCAGCGTCTCCGGTTGTACTTACTTCGAGCGATCAACGTTAAATCAACCTGCAATTGGCAATCGGCAATTGACGAACCACGAAACTACCGTGCAATAGGACAGGCCGCAGACGGGTCCTGCCTCCTGTACGTCTACACGCGACGAAGGCAAGGCACCTGTTCACGTACCTCTATAAACCTTAAGGACTGTTGATGATTATCAACTTTTACTTAATCGACCTCTTCCGCTTACCGTTTAGACAATTGAACCCAAATCCGT